GGAGCGGAGTGACTGTCCGCGGGACGACATCTCGATGCGCGATGCGCAATCCAACCCCGCGCAGCCACCCTCCGCTCGATCGCCTTCGGCGACGGACGACGGCGACAGAGAGAATGCGGTGGGCAATCAACCAGCGAGCGACGGGGATGCCGCTCGGATACATTCGCCTTCCGCCTTAGACATTTTGGCGACGAGCAGCGAGGCTGCAGCCGTGCCTCCGCAGGCAGCACACGTCGAGGACGTGCAGCCCCACTCGGGGCAGTCGCCGACGCAATCAATGGCGACTGAAATTCTCCACTCGGATGATGAGGACGGAGGCTCCATGGAAGAAATGTCAGGAGCAGAAGACACCGAGGAGGAGGAGGAGGAAATTGTTGGAGCGCCGGCGGCGGCGCTCTCTGAGCAGGTGATTCCGTTGCTGCGGTACTTGGATCGCAAGGTCGATAAATACGCCGACCCACTCCAGCCGGGATCTTACATCGAGTTAGTGCGCAGGCGGACTCGCACTAAAGTCCACACCAGCAAGCTATTAGCTAGAGTGGACCAGGAGTTGAGGGACTTGAAGGAGAAGCATGAGTGCTTGTGGGGACAGTACAAGCTTAATCAGAAATTCTACAAGCACTCCGAGAAGATGAAGGATGAGAAACTGGGCGAGCTCACCAAGGAGCAGGTGAAGGTCAAGGAAGCACTCAACTCTGAGCAGGCCGAGAATCGGATTTTGTCAGAGGAGCTCGTGCGACAGACGCGGTTGTTGGAACAATGTCAGCTCGCACGGCAGGCGGATGAAGAATTAATCCGCAGTTTACAGTCAGAGTGTGGCGAATTGAGGGCGCAACGTGCTGAAGCCGAATCGCAATTAGTGACCATTGAAGAGGATCGCAGGAAGGAGGCGGATCGCACGAAGGTGGAGACGGCGAGGCGAGTCGCCCACTGTCTCAAGGGCTACGCCCACTGGGAAGTGAAGGCGCAGGAGAAACTCACACTGCGGGAGTTTGAATTGCGCGCAGCCGGGTTGTTGTCAGGCGACAGTAGGAGTCGGCGGAAGGTAGCGAAGAAGCTCGAGGCCTTTCTGTCGAAGGCACAGGATACCATGTCCGCCCTCGAGGGGGAGGTGTCCGCGGCGTTGCAGCGGTTGGGACTGCGTAGTCGAGCGGAAGAGTGGCAGGGTAGGGAGCTAGTGCGCGGCAGTCGGCCGCGCAGGAGACGTAGTACAGGTTCCGCGGAGTGTAGTGTAGCGTGGTTCCGTGCAGGCGTGTAGCGTAGTGCAGTGTAGTGCTAGGTAGGACTTAGAAGGTATAAAATAGTTCCAGGCGTTTTGCCTGGGGTTCTTTCCCATCAGAAGTGCAGATCAGGAACCCATTTCCTTTGCGTGTTTGTGTCCTTGAGTTCTGTCACCACGCACGAGGAGTTACAACTTAGCGTTCCGCATTTTGTAGCTGAAGGCCTTCGGCCGAATGTTCAGAGCTAGTACATTGGTTAGAGACTTGAGTAGTTCGGAACTGCACCTGCGGGTGACTGCCGATGCTCAGAGCCAGTGACTAGTTAGATACTTGAACAGTTTCGCCCCTACACCTTCGAGTGTTTCTTTCTGATTGTACTCCTTGGGATTTTTCCCCTGAATGCCAAAGTGAAGTTTTGCTACTTCGTGTAAGCCTTGGTTGTAAATTCAGGTTACGCTGCAGCAGGTGCCTTGAGGGTAACCCCTGTAGTATTTCTGGGAATGACAAGTGCCTGAGAATTCAAACTCTTCAATAGACTGTTGTTGTGTTACTGGAACGTTTCACAGTGAGTCCTTCAGTGTGGACCTGTGTTCTCTGCGCGTTTTGTGAGTTGAGAGTGTTGTTCACCGCGTATGAGTGACTTCGATCCGAAGTAGGCAGTCCAAACCGGGTTTCCTACACTAGCAGCAAGCTAGTGGAAGCGTTGTAAAAGCCGGAGTTGGAAGTCACTGCCCGCAGCTTTGCCGAGTGTACTCTTGAGAGACTTTCCCCCTGAAATCTTGAAGTAGAGGTCCTAACGGATCTCTGGGTTGTGTTTCTGTAGTTTCAGGTGTGTGTGTGTGTGTGTGTTACGCTGCACTGTGCGACCTCCGAGTGCGCTCCGAGTGGACACTTGCAGTATTTCTGGGAGTGACAGTTGCCTGAGAATTCAAACTCCTCAATAGTCTGTTAAAACGTGACACTTTGTACCCTGTGTGTTCCTCTGTCCCTGTGGGTTCGACCTTTCTACCACTATATTGCAGTTTTAGCCTTTAGTGGGTTATTACAACTTCTTCCGGAAGTATAGATTTGTGCTAGTATTGATAAGAACTGAATATACCAATTTGTGCTCTATGTGAAGTTTTTGCAGACAGTATAGCAACATTCAAGTACATGAGATTCTAAATTACACCAGCCAAAGGAGCAACAATTCATATGTATATAATAATTACAGTTTAAAGAAATGAATACCCCAAATCGAGCTAAAGAATATGCCCATTAACTCATACATGCATGTACATTTTCAATTTTTACTAATAAGAAAATAATTGATGCGAATATGAGAAAAAGAATTTGAGAATTATATTCCGTTTGTTGAGTTCGTGAGACTATCGTCATGATCAGGTTTTGTGGTACGAGCTGTAGAGATAATAATTGAAGATCGTCTCTATCAGAATGCACTTTGCAAACGTATACAATAGGTGTATGAAGAAAAATATATAACAGATCACTACCATTACCGTTTACTATCGTATAGAGACATTTTCAGTAGTAATGTGCTAATTTCTCTACATGCCTACTTCTAGAAGTTCTTTGTATCATGGTTTTACCTCAAACATGTAGGTGCGGATAACATTGTCCATCTTCATTACAGATAGTTTCATCCACATAGTTGGTGTGTATATATATATATATATAGTTGTTGCTAAATTTTATTTTATGTCTTTGATCTACCAACATACAAACTGCATTACAGAGAAGCGTTCAACGTTTACTGTACCCAGCATGAATCTTAGTATTAAAACGTGACGTTTGTTGGAAAGCTTTTTTTTTATTGTTTGACTTCAAAACTTGTGATAGAAGTCAAATGCAAGTCCCTCCAGATCTTCATCTGTACTTTGTACGGGGTATTTCTCATTCTGCAGCTCAGGATGTAAAACGGGATTGCGCATTACTTAAAGTATCAGACAAAAAGCTTCGTGAACCAGTGAAATGATGTCAATGACCTGAACTTAATGGCGTCGTACAATAACCGACATACGGCGTCTGGAATGATGCAAAGAATTTTCGAATTAGCATGTCCCATATCCAGCGAGAAGCCCAAAGTTTTGATGTACTGATAGGATTTGGATTCATGAGCTGGAGCAGACCTCGGAAGCTACCCCTCTGACGTAGTCTGCTATGGCATGAGTGCTGCAGCTTGACTTCCTCGTACGCGATTCATTTCTCAGGGTCCGAAAATACCGACACTAAAAGGGAGCCCATCAATCGATCTACACCGGCCTGCAAATTAGAAAGTCATGGAGTCGTCTTCTGCGCATACGCGTCATCACGTTCTCCATATGCTGCCAATCTGGAGCTCATGAGGGATCCTTCGAAACTCGCCATTCGGACCTCGGAGCCTTCACAGGTTACGTAACTGATTCATGGACATGACAGGTTTCCAGGCTTCCAGGTTTCCAGACTTTCACCGACTAATATCTGCAAACTATCGAGCGAGGGGATGATCACACAATCATGGGGGTTCATATGCTTCGGCTACCCTCGAGTATCATGGCGTACATCTCGTAAGATCGAGAGTGCCAGCACTTTCCGTGCTTCCATATGCAGTGATTAGAACTTTCCCCCGGATTCAGGATCTTCTACAGGTTTGACTTATCCGAGTTTGAATTGGTACGAAGAAGGAGGCGTACATAAAAAATCAGATCGTGCGTCGGCTCAACAAGATACTTCAGTCTCTGTTTGGGAACTATCATGTAGACGATTGATTGTTCACCTATGACAGTCGGCTGAGTCGGCTGACGCGAGTCGGCAAACTCACGAAGGCCGTAGTCAAATGGAGATGCGAACACATAATTTTCACGACCACTGAACTTCGGGGCCGAATATCCTCCTCTGTATCTCTTTGGACGCATCATCATAAGGATCCTTGCGAGAGGTGGAGTGCTGGGCACAGTACATTTTAAGCCACGTTTCGGTTTCCAGTAAGATATTCTGCCACCGTTTGCGAGTAGAACTCACTGTATCAGCCACACTTTGACTTTGGGGTACTGCAGCTGCAACATGCGACAGTAGCGTCGAGACGCTTTCGTCAAGGTTTCTTTGCTTACAAGTTTCTCTCTCCACTGTCATCCCTTCTTCCTCTTGGTGCTAGCCAGTCCGCGGCCTAGCATAGAAACCGTGCCGAGCAAAGCTGGGAAAGTGTTTACGCGGTTTTGCTGCATTGTTTTGTCGTCCATAAGCTCATGTACTCTCACGACATGAACTTAGCTGAATTTTTAAATTCGAGGACTGTGCGTCCCAGATAGTCGGAACAGGCACAGGAGACAAAGCTGCTGCATCTCATTTCGTAGAGCATGAAGGAGCAGTGAGCGATTTCATCAAGCTCTCTTTTCTTGTAAAGAGGCAGCTGGGTCGTCAGATCTTTGATTTGCAAGTAATAAGCACGTAGTGGAACTTAGTCAGAAGCAAACTACAAATGTCGTTGACCGAGTACTCTACAAACGAAGGATTCTGCGAAGAACAGTTATAAACAATTGTTTTGCACATCGTCTGTCGCCATCTGCTCTCTCGAAATCTGAGCCAAATCTGTCTCTCTACTATGCACCGAAGATCTCGAAGTTCATGCCCTGCTAATTCATTTCTGTGAATGATGCAAGTCCAATGCATGAAGGAAGGATTGTATGCATCTGCTGATGCCAAAAAAAGCATAAAAATATTCTGTTACATACTTGGTAATCGCGCATATAGGCTGTGTATATAAGGAGTCGGGTCAGGTACTGGAAGCATTCAATCTCCAGGTTGAATACAAGTTCGAGTTCTGGAGATCTTCACCTCACTATCTCTTCTCCAGACCCACACCCAAATCCGCACTCACTGCTCAGGGAGGTCCCAAAGGTTGCTCAGGTACACTAAGGACACATCCGTGGACAGGCTCTCTCTCTCTCTATCTCTCTCTCTCTCTCTCTCTCTCTCTCTCTCCAGAACTCGATGACGAGCTCCAGCTTGATCAAGTGTGTTCTACTTTCCATTGGAGCTATTCTACTCGTCACCAGTTCTGTGGACGCCCAACTATCTACTACATTCTACGCATCCAAATGCCCCAACGTCACGGCCAAAGTCGCTGATGTGATAAAAGGATGGATTAAAAGCGATAGGCAAATGGGACCGGCCCTCCTGCGCCTTTACTTCCACGACTGCTTTGTTCGGGTACTTGTGATCTACGCTCGGTGAATTTCTTAAGAGCGAATGAACAGACTGTCTATTTCACTGAGCTATTGCTAGATTTGGCGCAGAAGGGTTCCTATTGTTGTTCTAGCTTCTGAATATATTTCTCAAATCATGCATGCATGTAAGACAAGGAAGTCTCAGGTGTCAAGGTTTGGAATACAGCACTGAGCAAGATGTGGACGATGTGACAGGGCTGTGATGCGTCTGTTCTTTTAGACGGAAGTCAGAGCGAGAAGCAGGCTGCAGGAAACTTAAACTCTCTGCGTGGGTTCAACATTATTGACGATGTCAAAGCTAAAGTCGAAGCTATGTGCCCGGGAGTCGTCTCCTGCGCTGATATACTGGCCCTTTCGGCAAAAGAAGCCATGGCAGCGGTAAACTTCTGACTTGCTCTATTTTCTTCACTGGAGCTTTGAACTGGCAGTCATTGCAAATGCTTTCAGTGGGCTGTGGTCAGCAGTCGAGAGCTATAGAGTACCGTCGTATCGAGAAAATTCCTGAAAACCTGGATGATTGTTGAATCTGTTGATATGTATTCTTTTGCGCTCTCTATGGCAAATCATCATAGTTTTGAATCACGAATAATGTTTAATCATGTTTTTTAATCTGCAGTTCGGAGGAATCACATGGACTGTTACCTTGGGTCGAAGGGATGGAATTGTCTCTTCGGTAACAGAAGGAAACAGCGATTTGCCTCCTCCTTTTGCCAATTTCACTCAATTGGTGTCGATGTTTGCTAAGAAAGGGCTTACAATGAAGGACATGGTCATTCTTTCTGGTGGGTGCTATCCTCGACATAAGTATCCATCTCTCATTCACACCTGCAATGTTAATACTGCATGACTTATGACTGTTATGCCGTAGTAACACCAGCATCAATAGTGGAAGCTCCACCTTCTTGTCACGTAGAGTAGCTTGGCATATTCAGTTTCAAAAGTTTCTACTCCAATGATTGATTTTCGAGGTGCATGTTGTAGCATTTGAGATAAAGTCCAGGATTTTACAGGATCTGGAATGTAACCTTCTCGTGGTTGCAACATGGTCTCTATCTCCAACCGATTCCAGTTCTGAAAGTGAAATTGTTTTGGAGTACGCAGGTGCCCACACCGTCGGCTTGACTCGCTGTGCGACCATGCAGAGTCGGCTGTACAGCTTTTCCTCATTGACACCCACTGATCCCACAATCGAGCCGAGTTTCGCCACCACGCTGAAGAAGCAGTGCAAACAGGGCGATCAGAACACAATCATCAAGATGGACCAGAGCAAGACAACTGACACCTGGGACTTCAATTTTTACTCGAACGTCATCAAAGGAAAGGTCGTTTTTCAGTCCGACCAAGCCTTGAGGACGGATTCCGCTGCCTTCCAGATAGTGCAAGCCCAAAACAAGGCCGGGGGCCCCTTCAACTCAGAGTTCCAAGCTGCTATGTTGAAGTTGGGAAACATTGGCGTTCTCACGGGCAACCAAGGCCAAATTAGAAAGAAATGCAACAAAATCAACTGATCGATCATTAGTAAGCTAGAAGATCTCTGGGAGTCCGCCTCGATCGCTTCACGATACGGGAGCTGCGATGTGGAGAGATTTTTGCACAATTAAATTGAACTTGTAGACTCGAATGCAGGTGTTACTACCTCTTGCTTCTGCAATCAAGGCAGCGCACCACTTAGAAATCATCTAATTATTCGTACAGGGGTTCAAATCTGTACGTTTTGAAACTAACCTGATCTTCTGACTAGTATCTAAACTAGCTTATCTTCACATGTAGATAAGTGAACCTGTCCTCATCAACTAATTGCAAGAAAAATAGGGAGCATTGTCAATTTTGACATAATCATGCTACTTTAAGACTGACAGTGGTAACTAGTGAAAGTGATTCGTTCCATGCGCGAGCAGCATTTAGAGTGTCCTTCGCTAGTCAAACAGAATCTGAAATTCATTTATTAGAATTTCCGGAAAAAACCGTAATAAAACCTAGAATTTGCCACATTCTTGGGCTACCTGAATACAGGTACCTTTACTGGGACCTCCTGGTGTCACATTTGCAGTCAGTAAGATTCGGTGACGTGACTGTGTCATATAATTGCACTCCTGAAACTGCTCTCTCTTTCCTCGACGTTTCGTGCATCATGAGGCATTTAAGGTGACCATATTGTAAGAAACAAAGCACCTGTTTATTTGTCTATCTACTGTCTGCATCCACCGTGGCATTAGGGAAGAAAGATCATGCAATTCACTATTCTCTATGATTTTACATCATTCGTCGCGTCAGTGCTCAGATCTACGATATATCCTATGTTCCTTTCTATGTATCCGTTTCTAAATTATCTATGTATCCGATGTATCCGCTTCTAAAGTCCAATGTTCAGTTGTATCTTCAACTTTTGCAAGCGTCTCTTATGCCGTTGTCAGTACCATTTACTGCATCAGACGGTTGATTGGGTCTCAAGTCGTCTAGAACTCAGAAAACTAAGGACGATCTAATCCACCTGATACATAATCTGCCGTGTGAGAAGAGCAGAAGGCTGCTTTGGTGTACTTCGACCAAATTTACGACAGGAGTAGATTATGTCGAGCAGTTTCGTCGATCGAAATCTGCAACATTTGTGGACAGAAGACTTCACAAGAGGTGGGCCCGAGGTTTCAAAAACCTCTGCACATGTAAAAGGTGGGCATTCCTCAAAGCAAGAAAGTTTCAAATGATCTGCCTAGATCATGTGTTTATGTAGACCCGAGCGTGAAGCCTGGTCCACCTAGATTGTACTCTTGTTCTAACAAGGGAAGTGATGCTGCAAGCTGAAATTCCTCAGATTAAAATGGCATATAGCATGTGACTATGGTTCTTCCTAATTAGAGAATGGTTTGTAGTTGACGCATAGTTGTTACCATTCACTCTGTTATTTATGCCGTTTGCTGAAAGACGAATATGGTAGGTACATATTGACGTAGTTGGATACCTCTGCTTTTCATTAGGTGATCAGAAAAAGTGTGTGACCGCTCCAGTGACGACTTACTGCAGTCTCCAACAAGTAAAATCGTGTATGACCCGAGAAGTGAAAAAAAGAATACGTATCTCTATACAAAATTATCATGAAGTAAATCAGACGCCAAAAACTCAATGTTGCTTGTTTGGAATCACACACCGAACAGCATGAGAATGGTAATACAAGCAAATTATGCATATGCTGCAAAAGTAAAGCACATTCATGAAGTCTTCTAGGGGCAGAAAGGCCTGATAAGATTACTGATGGTGGACGTGCATATCGTTCAATTTGATCACAATGGACCCGTCAATCTGTTCGCGTATAACAAAGGGTACCAAGTAATGTAGTGGAAGGGATGGGAAGAATCCATCCAGTGTTACGGGGATAAAACCAATCGGATAAGATCGGGTAGGCCCCAATTCCATCACAGTGGAAAATATGTTATAATCCGGTATAAAGGTCCAAAGGCTAGGGTATAACGCATGTATTAGATGAGAAAAGAGCGATGGAGGAGCTCGTAGGTTGCCTGGTGTAGAGTAGAAAACAATGAGTGAGCAAAGCGCTTCATCGTACAGTAAGAGCACTGGGATCACCTCGAAGGACTTCTTAAAAGATACTAAACCTACTGTAGTCAAGTTTGCCGGAGTTAATACTCACTGTATTTTGATGCACATTGCATCAAGGGTCTCAAGAGCAGAATTACGATGGAATTTTCACAATCATGTGATTTATAATTGTAGCAGGAACAACCTTAATTTTTGTCCTCATGTAGAGAGTGTGGGTTTTGTATGTCAGGGAGCCCCAAGAGGGTACAACGTCCGTAGGAACTCTGACATACAAATCCGATCGAAAATTCCGAAAATTTGTATCTCATTACATGGAGTAAAGTTGAGTATGTGTGATTTACAAATTTATGCTTATGGATTATCGTCTTAAGCTCTAGAGAGCAATGTGCCAGTTTCAGATAACAAAGTTTTCTTTCTCTGGCTGCTACCCGCAGTCTCTGCAAGCTTGTATTTTCTCGGTCAATATCTTCTTTTCTCATGCCTCCATGAGATCCAGAAGAAGGTTGCCAATCACAAACACCAGATCTGAATCTTTAGCTTTGCCCGTCAAAGCTTAACAGATCCTATGACCATGTAGTCTTCCGGTCGACGCACATCAGTTGCTGCAATTATGGAAAGCATATTCGAATTAGAAACACCTTACTGAGGTCGTGGATTCTGCTCTAACTGCCACCCAGCACTGAAACAGTCACAATGATCTGTGGGTCCACCCTAGCGATGGCGTTCCCATTTCCCATGCTGATGTAGACAGACGTGTACTGTAACACGGAGAGAGTGTCAAATTCCAGGTTAGAAAACTTTATTTGCTGAAGACTAGATCAAATGGCTCCTTCTTGTAGATTATCTTGCAACCAGGCTCCTACTATTCAGGCGATTTCGGTGGAAAGGCCGTGCTCGAGCCTGTTCATGTTCGATGACTTGTGATTAGATACACATATAATAATTTCACTGTTATCACAAAGTTTTGAGAGGTGTCCAAGTTTCAGCTGGATGCACGTGACACAGAAACATACCGAAGTTTATTGCGAGTGTGTAAACCTGTACCGTGCGTCCTTGTGGTACTCATGAGCTACTGTAGGCTGCTCTCCTTCAAGCATAAATTCCATCTTTGAATATTCCAATGACATCGGTCCCGCTATTGATGATATAGTCTTTTGACATCACTCCTGCAACGATGAAATACTTGCAAAACTTGACGATAGTTTCCAGATGCTGAAATTGGTCCACGGAGTTGACGGGAATGTCCAGAACAAGGGTAGGAAGCCCCACCGATGTGCAGCGGGCTAGCTTAGCTTATCACAGTGGCCGGTCTTTGTCGACGTTGCGAAATAGCTTCGTGTTAAGGCCGACCGGTCTGGGATGGAGCCTTGCAAGAAGCCTCGAGGAGCTCAGCTCAGTGCGGGCACGTGCTTTACTGCACGTTTCTCGTCTCTCGATTAGCCCCATAACTCCGACTTTCTAGGAACAAAATTCGCCTGCATGTACATTACGCAGTTACCAGTCAACGCTGTTCCTTGCTCTCACTATACTTGCTTTCATTCTCTGACTTACACACTTGCAAACCATGCTTCTCTGCTTTCTTCGCTGAGGTGTTCCAGTTACAACTTCCGACACAAGATGTCACACCCATTTTATTTTTCATTATTTGATTTGAATGAACTTGTAGGCTTCTGCACACGTTGCATTTGAATGGAGCAGAAAATCAGATGCAAGTATTTTCCAGTTTAGGAAGGCAGGTAAATAAGATATATCAGAAAGGTTGAATTCAATCACCGAAGTTTGGTGCCTAGACAATTCTAAGAGAATAATAATCGAGCTAGATATCTTGAGAACAGTTCATGATATATAGACCTAGTCTGATCTCGCTGATTTGTGGCTTTAGATTATAATCATTTAAATAGAAACCCCAGTAGAAATTCTTCTGCTATGGCGACGGTAATTTTCTGTCGTCAGATATTGAGGTCTTGACGTGAACATCCATCAGGTCAAGGGGATCATTGTAGCAATGTTGACCAGATCCAGAACTTCGCAATATCCTTCGATTGAGCAATATTTATTATCTAGAATCTGCACTGCCTATGCACAAGGTGCTCAAGATCTCAAGACAACTTGTGTACTAAACTGAAACAGCCTATTATTTTCAATATGTGAACATCTCTGAAACATAAAAAACTAATCAGCCGTAACGACGTTTCCAATATTTCAAGAGCTACGAGCACTAGATGACACGTGATTACCTCTCGAATGCGCTAATTATTTGCTCACATACAGCATGAACGAATGTGTGTGTATACATCATGTTCAACATCCATCACCGGCTTCCATTGAAAACTGCTAGTCTTTGGGGAGCTGTGAAGCTAACATGTGTTCCATGCTAGATCGTAGAGAACCTGGAATATGCAGCAAGGTATTGCTCCCAAGGGTGTGCAGGACAGCCAAAGACCAGGTGATAATATTCTCAGCGTGCTCTCAGGGAAGTCATGGAGTTGAGCTGTCAGCGAGGACTAGTAATGGACAAAGTGACGAGTATGGTACAACGTAATTTGGGTCTACAGGAAAATGTTGATGTTATAGTGGCTAGTATAAATGGCACTCCATTCGAGGGTCAAAGCATTCTCTTTATCTCAGCGCAGCCTGGGATAGAAAGAATTATCGCTTCCATACAGTCTTAGTACTCAGCTCAGATCAGCTACTTGGAGAATCACTGAATTGAACTTTTGAGGGGCGTTTTTTTCGATAGGTCCTTCCATTTCTATCGTTTCAACCATGGCACAATCGGGCTCCTTCTGGGCCGTCTTCGTTGTTGTAGCAATTCTTGGTGTTGCTGCAGCAAATGCTCAGCTTTCACCGACCTTCTACGCAACTAAGTGCCCAGGTGCCGTTGCTAAGTCAGCTGAGGTGGTTAGAACGTGGATTTTGAAGGACAGGAGTATGGCACCTGCTCTTCTTCGCCTGCATTTCCATGATTGTTTCGTCAGAGTGAGTACTCTATTCCTATCATATGAACATTCAACAAATTTTCAAACTTCATAGGTTTCTAGGATGAAAGAAGTCTGATACTCTCATACTGACATGTCCGAAATAGTTACACATTTCTACGAGAGCTACAATTTATTACTCAATATCGAAACATTGTATTGAACAATTTTCTCTTCAATGTTAGCTGCAGAGGTTGCAAAGCCTGGCTGATGAAAATTTATTACCAATCTTCAGTGAAATTTCCTCTTTGGACTTCATGAATAACTTGATTATCATTCTGATGTTGAATACCTTTTTCTCAATTGTTGTATGTGATGTATCAGGGCTGCGATGCATCGGTCCTATTGGATTCGACCATAGCTAACAGCGGAGAGAAGGACGCTGACGGTAACAAGAATTCTCTCAGAGGCTTTGAGATTATTGACGACGTCAAGGCCAAAATTGAGGCTTTGTGCCCAGGCGTTGTCTCTTGCGCTGACATCCTTGCTCTTGCTGCCCGAGACGCCATGCAAGTGGTGAGAAGTCAAGCACAAGACAAGCTGAAAGCTCATCATATGTCCTATTACCTGAATCTATAACTTGTAGATTTCTGTACTACATATTCAGTCTCGAGTTTTTCTTTTTTTGTTATCACCACTTTAACGAAGGTTGCCCTCTCTATTATTTGACACTAAGATTGGTCTCGATGCTGTGGATAATTGTGCAGTTCGGAGGACTCAACTATACCGTTCCTTTGGGCCGAAGGGATGGTGTCAGCTCATTCGCATGGGAAGCGAACAACAACTTGCCTCCTCCTTTCGCCGACTGGACGAAGCTGATGAGCATATTCTCCACAAAGGGTCTTTCCAGCAAGGATTTGGTTGTTCTCTCAGGTGATATTCTATTCTCTACAAAGGTTCGGTTGAAATCAGGTGCTAGCGAATTTCACCTCGATGATTGAATTTCGTGCTTGTTATGGCAACCTTAGAAGGTTGACTGATCCAAGCAGTGGATAGCCACTTGTTCGACGTCATTACCGAGTTAACATTCTGCACTGTGAAATGTAGGTGCCCACACCGTTGGCTTTACGAGGTGCTCGACCATTCAGTCAAGACTCTACAACTTCTCTACTACCATCCCTACCGACCCAACACTCGACCCATCGTTCGTTCCTCTGTTGAAGAGCAGGTGCAAGTTTGGATCTTCAGGCATCGTCATGATGGATCTCTCCAAGACTACAGACACCTGGGACTTCAACTACTACTCGAATGTCCTGAAAGGAAGATCTCTCTTCCAGTCTGACGATGCTCTCAAGAGAACCACCGAGGGTCTGAAGCTCGTTCAGGCAGAGAACAAGGCAGGAGGCCCATTCTCTGCAGACTTTGCAGCTTCCATGATCAAGATGGGAAACATCCAGGTACTCACTGGTACCAGCGGACAAATCCGCAAGAAGTGTCGCGTCGTGAACGCTTAGATTAGCAGTCAGCAGAATCAGCTGAAGGATTTTAGAAATTGCAGTTAACTTCACTTTTTAGAATATTCATCGTTCCCTGGAGTTCATGGTTAGCATTTATATTATGACCACGGTTTCAGCGCGGGGAGCTACTAGTTGAAATTTAGACGCACATTCATCCAGATCTTCAAACTAGATCATAACATTTTTAGAAATTACTCAGCTCGGCGGCTGATAGATATCAATCACTACGACCGCTGAGGACTCAAGTCATCAATGTGGAAGGGTGACTGAATTAGTGTCGTCCTTAGCCAAGAGTCTTGGAGGATCTCACAACGATTTTAGTGATTCGAAGTGAGTTAGAGTCTACCAAGCAACAATCATATTAACCGGGTGATCAGTATGGATACGCTTCCACTTCATTCCGCTGTGTCACCTGATCAGCGTTTTACCTTCAAGAGTGTTCTCTGTTGGCTCGAAGGAAATCAGAAGACGATGTAATAAATCGATATGGACTCAATTGGAAGGAATTCATTTGGAGTCTGACTGCGTATTTGATTGGGGTTCGGACTCATGTTGCCCTGCACAATGTGTCATCCATTTCTCAATGTTGTGAAATTGCCCTATTCTCTCAGACCTGCTGACGGAACATAATGCGAAATGGACGTCCTTCGATACGTGGTTTCGTACAGAGCAGACAAATGTGCGCACAACTTGCTGCATCATGAGATGGCGCTGCAATTCCTCCAGCAGATGCATGAAGCAAGAGTTCGAATGCTGCAGACACCGTGCATGATGCTCGAGCTATTACCACAGGGAGCACATCATGTTCTCCATCCAGGTCTGCGGCCTCTTCTGCGCTTCGACTGCTTTACGATCGTGAGGTGAAGTTAGACTGAAGATACCCCCAGCCTTGAGTTACTGTATTCTCGAACAGCTCGTACTATAGCTTCACGAGGTTGACCCGAGGGAGTTACGGAGTTGCTGTATTCCCTGCCATGTTTCGACCGCATAATCCGGACAGGTCCACCTGGAACACTGTTTTCCATCATGCGATGCAAGTTGCAACAGAATCAGGGTCACCAAGCTTCATCTCAATCGACGTTGCAGCTCTCGAATAACAGAATCTAATCGTGTTTAGTACGAGGGAGAGGCTAGTTATATCTCACTAGCCTGCAGTATTAGGCTCCTCGCTAATATTGGACGATTCGTCCAAAGTTATAGGGTCAGTGGAATTGAATTGATGGTTCTTCTAACGCCTTCGTGTTGTAACGCGGCCGACGTGGATGCCATGCTGTCGACTACTGCGATGGGAGGGGTCGAGAAGGACTCTCGTTGCGTTTGCCAGAGCCGGAGCTGTGGGCCCACACGATCCGGGCCCCGTGCAGCCGCTGGTCTCTCGAGGCCTTGTGCGACTACTGTGCGCAAGATTTCGCCTCATCGTTCGCGCCTCGGATCCGTTTCTGGTGAGTGAGTTCGATCGCAACTCCGACTGCATCATTCTGAAATGGCAACTCGTGGTTGATGCAATTTGACTTATCGATTTGAATTCGAATTTGCTGTACGCGCGAGGCGGTTGGAGAACTCATTGCGTGTATTTGAGAGCATTGGGCCGGAGGAATAATTCGATGCGAGTGCTTAGAAGTGGTGGTGTCATCTGCAGAGGCAGCCCAGCTGGGCGCTGCTAGTTTCTCAAGCAAGTTGGCGACTTGAGTGAAATTCTGCTTTGGACTTATGATTGGCATGTGATCAGGTGAATTTGGTGCGTGAGATGCAATATATCGACCGCCGTGGGGGCCACGGCTGTGATGAATCCGCTCAGCTGGCGGGTGAAATGAGCTGCTGGTTCTGGCAGTCCTGTGGATGTAATTCCTGATGATGGAAGCAGAGGCTTGTGCTGCGAAACGCGATTGAGTTTTCTCCCTTCCTACTTCGCCAGGATGCAGGGGACTCGCTCCCTCCAGCCTTCCAAGAACCTCGAGTTCGGAGGTGCTGAGCTTTTGAGGTGTAAGAAGGCTCTCTTCTCGACAACTTTGCTTGTGCCTGCGCTTTCTACGTCTCGGAGGGCGGTGTGATTCGAGATACGTTCCAAGTCAGATGACACCAAACTGGCCATGAACCGGTCAAAAATAAATCTAGCTTGTATTGGTGGCAACTGTGACGTGGCACACGAATGCCATGGAGAAGAACAACAAACTGGCCAGGAATTGGTCAAAAATAAATCTAGCTTTATTCGTGACAAGCCATGGAGAAGAACATGAAGTCGTTAGGCTAACCATCAAAGACCTTATACTAGGTTTAGGGTGCTAATTAATCTAAAGTGAGTGATAACTAACCACTCCGTTAGTATTATGTTTAATGTACTAATGAGTTAAATTTCCCAATGATGATATATATTGTTATTTGGGTTTTATGTCACTAATGAGTTAAATTTTCCAATGATGACATATATTGTTATTTGGGTTTTATGTCACTAATGAGTTAAATTTTCCAATGATGACATATATTGTTATTTGGGTTTTATGTCACTATTGTGAGGTGTCATTCACAAAAGTAAACTGCGTATAATCTCATAATAGTAATATACATTGTTGTTAGAAGTGGATGTCATTGTTGGGAGATGCGTAATTTTAATATTATCTCCTAATAATAACATATATTAGATTAGATGTCAATATTGGAAGATGTCAATTTTTTAAAAAAAACTCAGAGATTTTTTATCCTATATTATATCAATTCTAGTACAATCTTTAAATGTGTTGTTTGGTTTCAAAATGGTGTTCATTTTGTCATGTAATTCTGTCTATTGCTAAAAATAGTAGTCATCTATAATTTCGATAGGTGTCGATATCGATAGGTGTTCTAGAGGATGGCACATGTCGTGCTTGACTCCACTATCGATGTTATTCCGGCTGGACGATGGGTTTGTGCTCGATATACTACAGAGTGTAAGATGATTTGATCTTCACATGTTCTGAATTGCAAATAGGCGACTAACGATGAGGCGACATAGCACACGGCCTACTTGTTCACGCACTCACGAAGGTGTATAGCATGTAGTTGTAGATAGTGTTCCCTGGGAGTCAGAGGGACCTGACTGCCAGCTAGGGGGACGAGTTGTGGCATTTAAATGTGTACTCTCTCGCGCCTTATATGTGTGTATGTGTGCTTATGTGTATGTGAGTAGCATGTCAACGATGTAGAGTGTATGGCGATATGTATTCGCAAGACAATTTGCACATCTGTATCGTTCATTGCGATTAACATAGACATTACAATTATGTTTGAATTCATATTAATACACAAAAATATGAGTGAAAAAATTTATGATTATATATGTAACGAATTATTTTACTAAAGCCCAAAAAGAATGAACTTAAGCGACATTGTTTTAAGTCTCATAACTATGTATTGTGATCATGATAGGAATTTTTACTCCCAAATTACACTTGAAATTGTCACTAAAAAATATCATGTCACTATTGGGGATAGTGACATACTGTCCTTATTGAGAAAATTTACAAGTTAAAAAGTAATGGTTTTGGAATTTTACGTCACTAATGAGAGAATGTCACTATTGGGAGTTTTAACTCTTTAATGAGATTTTTTGCCTAGAGCATCGTAGACACCATGATACTCTGTCATGCATCATACATGCTCCTTTTCACTTTCTAAAAAGCATGTGGAGATACCTGTCTAATGGGATGGTCACCTAGAAGATCGAAACTAAAGAACTTTATGGGTAACTCTTGACTTGTATATATTGCTTATTGTGTTGCATCTAACATTCTATTTAAATATACATGAAATTGTTATGTAGACTTTATGAAATGATTGATTTTGCTTGAAATCAATATGATTCAAGACTTGTAATACAAAATTACTCATTTATTGTTTTTGTCCAATTTTAATTTGATTGATTTTATGACATATTTTTTTTTAATTTTTTAAATGTTCTATAAAAAATATGCATTTAAAACTATAACGTAAGTTGTTATATAAAATAATAAAAATTATTTACAATCAATTCAAAGATATCATGATATATTTCTAATTTTTTGAAATGATTATGATGAAGTTTGGCTTTGCGGCAACGACAACGATATACATGACTTTCACATTGCAGTGCATACTGAAAAAAATGTAATGTAGCTTGTGATTGAATTTGAGTTTACTCCTCTCAAGATAAATTGCTAGGTAGAATGAATACGATGGCTAGCAATCAAGCCAGAAAGCACCGCAAGCAAAGAGCTAGCAAGAGCAATTACATCTCTACATCATTGTAGCAAGAGATCTAGTTGGTCAAACGTGACATGTAGATTCAAAGTCGCCAGACTTTGGTTCTGTTGAATTGCTTTGGCAGAAGAGACTCAAAAGTGCAAATAGTTTGAAAATGTCGTAAAGAATGACAAATTGATTGAGACATCAAAGCCAAAAGCAGACATGTAGGAGCATAAAGACTCAAAGTTATAAACCTCAAGCTCTAAAATACATGGTTAATCTGCCCAGCTCAAGTACTAGCTTCAAAACTTCTCAAGTTCATGCAATTGAGAGGTTAAAAATTTGACATCGAGTCTTTGCAGACTTAACAAGTATGCTCAACGGGTTGCAAAATCAATTGCTAACGGTCTTAGAGGTAGTTGTCTAGAAGATTAAAAAACAAAGTATTAAGGTCAAAATTGTTGGATGAAGTCATGGAGGTTGACGAGTGAGTGATTAACCAACAAAAATTGTGGTTTGAATATTTGTTGTTTACTAGCTCGTTCCCCAATCTCTTGGACTTCCTAAAACAAAATAAGTACTTTTGCATAGTTATAGAAAACTGTCTCCGTTAAATTACAAGTGTAAATGCATTTTATTCACATAGTGTGAGTCATTCCACAAGATACATGCCAAACACAAAGTAATCAAACTTGCATTGTTGCATGAAGTCAAAAAAACTAATCATTGCACTAGTTCACAACAAAAATTATCCGTTGAATTTTTTTTATTTACTTGCTCACTCCTCATCTCTTCGTATTGAACACCATTGCAATAGAACAAGCACAAATCTCTCTCCATGCCAAACAATAGATGAAACCAAAACTCCAACACAAATGATTCTTCTATTGTGTACTTAAGTCCTACCAACAGTGCTTGTCAAAGTTCATGAGGCCTTGAATTGGACTCTTGGTCATATGTTAGATCCAAATGCAACCCGCACATCAAATTCTATTTTCAACGCGCCTATTTTTTCTGGCCATTTAGTCAGGTTTTTTTTTTAAAAGCAACAAATGACTTGTTACATAAATCTAAAAAATCCTATTTAAGTATACTGGGATAATCCTAGCTGCCGCCAAAAAAATTAGCAATTTTCAAGAAATAAAACTGTTGATTGAAAGTTTTTAGACTTAGGGTTTGAGTCGTTGGCTCAAAATCCTAATCTTGGCCCCCACCTGCTAGACTTTCAAGAGTAAAAGATCCAGGGAAGTGTTTAGATTAAGGTTTATAGTGGTTGGCTCAAAACCCTAATCGTGACCCCAACTGTCTAGACTTACAAGAGTCAAAACCCTAATCTTGGCCCCAACCATCTAGACTTACAATAGTAAGAGGCTCATTGCAAATTAAACTAAAGTCTAACACATGTTGAAGTAATCTTGATCCCTAATTTTTGCTCTACCGAAAGTTACTAGTACATTCACAAGTGGAATGCGTGCGTCATGCCAAAGTAAGTAAATTTACATGATCAATATTTAAATTATTTTGCAGTTTTTTGAATATGTTGATTGATCACCGATGAGTTTAGATTAGGTTAGTGTGAGGAAGGATTTAGGGTTAGGTTTTGTAGGTTTTAGAACTAGGGTTAGGAAGAAGCCTATACAGTTATTAAAAAATTTCATAGTACACACGAACTGATGAGTAAATTCCTTCTCTGGTGATGTAAAATAAGGGTGACACGTGGGGCTACCTCAGACGTCTCATCTGTATACACCTGACGGCCGACTTGCTCTTAGTTCAATGATTTTGCAATCCTGCTTTGACTCATCTACGATCGCCAACTTGGGATGATTTAGCGTTACATGAAAATGAAAGAATCTAGAACTTGAAAGCTGACTAGTATTCAAGCACCTGCAATGATTTAAAGCACTTCTTGAACTATATACTTTGCAGGCTCACTAACGTGTACAATATCTAAATTTCAAAACCGGAAAATCATTTCCAAAATATAATGCTAGTTAACCTCAGTACACTTTCTTCTGAACTCGCCATTGGAAATTGTCAAAAGCCCAATCCCTTGCTATGCCACGAAGTTACCATGAAATGTACCATCAGGACGATTCTATGCGTAGACAAGAGACAGACAGACCTGCATCATTTCTCCTGACTGCATCGTCCGACTGCAACAGAATTTGCCACGTAGAGCATTAGACTCGAAGTTATAATCCCAGTTGTCCATAGGTTAGTGTAATAACCCACCAAAGGCTAAAACTGCAGTATGGTGGTAAAAAGATCGAACCCACAAGGACAGAGGCAACACACAGAGTAAAAAGTGTCACGTTTAACAGACTTTTGTAGAGTTTGAATTCTCAGGCGATTGTCACTCCCAGAAATACTGCAGTGCTCGACTCGGAGGTCACTCGGAGGATGCTCGACTCGGAGGATGCTCGGAGGATGCACAGTGCAGCGTAGGTCACTCAACACACACACACACACACACACCTGAAACTGGCAAAAGCACAACTCGGAGGTCGGTCAGGACCTCCGCTTCGGATTTCAGGGGGAAAATATCTCAAAAGTTCACTCAGAGGCTCTGCAGTTAGTGACTCCCACTCCGGCTTTTACAGCCCTTCCGCCAGGAACTAGCGTAGGGAACCCGGACTGGACTTCCCACTTCGGAACGAAGTCCCTCATACGCCGCGGACGTCACCCTTGACTCACACCAAGCGCAGAGAGTACAGGCCCGACTGAGAACTTAACTGAGACACAATCCAGTAACACCCACACACAACCTGAATTGCAAACCAAGGCTTACACGAAGTAACAAAACTTCACTTTGGCATTCAGGGGAAACTTTCCGTAGGAGTACAATCAGGATATGTCACTCGAAGGAGTAAGGGGGAACTGTTCAAGTCTCTAACTCGCAACCGGCTCTGAGCATCAGAATTCACCCGCAGGTGCAGATCCGCACTACTCAAGTCTCTAACCGGTGTACTAGCTCTGAACATTCAGCCGAAGGCCTTCAACTACAACATACGGTAACTTCGCTATGCTGCAGCTTCTCTACGTGGTGCCAGGACCAAATGCACAAACACGCCAAGAAAGTGAGTTCCTGATCTGCACTTCCGAAACTGGAAGAGTCCCAAGGCAAAACGCCTTG